GTGCAAACAAAATTTCTGATGCAATCCCTCGTGTTAGCCCGCATGCACATTGCAATCGCCTCAAACATGTCATCTTGATCTTCTTTCTTTCGCAGATGTTTGCTAATGTGCTGTCTTAGAACGATTGCTCTTTTCGAGCACCTGGCAAGCATCCCTCATATCTGGTCTGTCCGCAGGATTATGTTCGATGCAACTCAGAGCAATGCTAATGCAAGTCAAAATTTCTTCCTTTCCACGTTTTCCCAAATTCGAGTCCTCTGGATTCAATGAGTTTTTCTTCTTGTGCATNCTCCATGCCTTCTCGATAACATATTATAGCAAGAACAATTTACAACTGATCATAGGTAGATTCATATAGATATTTTTGTTCGAGTATACTTACATAGGATATAAGATCCTCCTCCTTGTCCCCGATTTTCGAATTCCAAAGACGAATACCACTCAGGATCTCAAGAACCAACACACCAAAACTGTAAACATCTATCTTAAAAGAAATCTGCCCGAGGGATCGATACTCTGGAACAATATAGCCTCTGTAAAATCACAAAATATTAATCACTATTTAACTTTGTCCTAGTGCAGTCGATGCACACATGGCTATTGGAAAACCATGCTACTTACAAGGTTCCGATGATGTTTTCGGTAACCCATTGGGTCATTTGGCTCTCATCGAACAATTTAGCCAAACCAAAATCTGCGATTTTTGGCTTCATGTCCTTGTCTAACAATACGTTACCTGGTTTTAGATCCCGGTGAATTATCCGACCTTGGCAATCTTGATGAAGATAAAGAATCCCTCGAGCGACACCTTTTATGATTTTGTAACGTGTTGCCCATTCTAACGCATTACCTATGTACAAGCACATAGATTCTTAATTAATATAGACCGTTTCCAAAGATGCTGCAGATGAGAATAATAAAAGAAGAGAGTACCGAAGATGAATTTGTCGACGCTTTTGTTGGGTAGGAACTCATAGATAAGAGCCCTTTCCTCATTTTCAGATGAAAAGCCCACAAGTCTGACAAGATTACGATGCGAAAGGTTTGCCAGCGACAAGACCTCGTTCTTAAACTGCATTTCTCCTTGGTTGATATTCTCGGACAACCTTTTCACTGCTACTACTTCTCCGTCAGGAAGCACGCCCTGAAATATCCCATTCCAAACAAAAAACAAAAAAATTGCTCTTAAAAGTCAAGAGCAACACAATTAAAGACATGAACACGTAACTCAACTAACCAACAAAACTGGCAATGATCCTGTGTTAAGATCAATCTTCAGATGTCCACTTTTNATCAGGTCTTTTGCACTTTTGTAAAACAACTTTATTTTTCCAGCCTAGATCTATCCACTATAAATATTTCTAATTTGTACCATTTTTTTTTTGAATTTT